AAGGACTTCGACAAGCAGTCGAAGGGCATCCGTATAGATTTACGGTGTATTCTTGCAGTCGTTTATATTCCAGCAGTCAAAAACTGATAGACTGCTTGACTATTGGCGAATCTCCATACTACCTTCTACAGCCAGACGCCCGACGCGTTCTTGAGCAGGATAGCACGTAATACGACAGCGTACCAATGAATCTCACTTGCGATCTTGGAGTTGTGTAGCTTTGGGGTTGAAGTTCAATCACAAATTGCACTTGATTGATAAATCCTCCAAACTTGGATCTGGTACCATTAAACTTCTCGGATAAGACAATTCTTGATTCTCTAACATTGGAAGGGCGTTCCACCATAGGAGAAAGGACATGGTTTGGTGCAGATGTTGAAGCAACTCCAACCATTTCTATATCTTTACTTCTTGTCAATCTTGATGCTCTTTGTGGTGGTAAATTGAGTTGATGCATCGCAAGCATTAACTCCCTCAATTGCTCTTGCATTTGTGCCATTGCACTCTTCATTTCAACAAGTTCTGCCATGATAACACTTAGAAAAGAGAAGATGTCTAATATCACTCAAGACAAATAGAAGAGAGAACTTGAGAACAAAGAAAATACTAAAGACAATATCAATTTAGAAGAGGATAATCCGCAACTTCTAATATGCTTATATCTTATCAAGAAAAAGGGGTAATCCACTCTTAATCAAGATTAGATAAAGCTCTGATATTGTAAGTAGACTCTTGCCAATTTTTCAAGGACAAGAACTCGATGAAAAAGTAATTCAGACAAGTGAGCCTTCACTCAAAGAAAGGTAAGAAAATATAAATAAACAAGTATGTATATTGAAAGAGAAACTGGAATGGCTATTGCCAAAAGACAAGAAAATTAGAGACCCTTGAAACTAGACTAGAAGCAAGAAAGGAGTTGACAAGAGTGAAGAAGGCTTCACTCTTGTCTCTATATATATTATCTAACTAGGGACTACGTGGCGACATTCTATAGGACCTCCAATATGTATTGACTTTGTAGGGCACATGCCTTGACTTACGAGGTAAGTTTTTCTACGTGTGGGCCACATAGTTAGCTTGATCTTCAAGCTAACAACATGTGTGGCACATGGCCAACTTGTTGACTACATTTCTAATCCAAAAAGTCAATTAAAGATACCTATGAAGTCAAAGCAGCATCTATGAAGCTTCTAAGAAGCTTCCATATTAAATACTATAGAATTAACTTACTTTTATCTACTTTCACTTACTTCCACCTATTTGTATATGTAATTATTAGCTTACATGCATATGTCCGTGACAGTCATACCTTTTTGACTCACAAATGTATCAATTACTTTTTAATACCTAATAAATGATATATTTTGAAGATTTTTAGATTATTTTTTTATTAATTATTAATATAATATTTCAATCTATTCTAAAAAAATAAATAAATATGAAATTTATGTCCAATCTGTATTTTTAAAACTTATCAATGAATGATTATATGTTAAGATGAAAAAAATTATATTTTACACAATTCAAGTTGACTTCTTATGATACATTATTTCAAATGATGGCCTTATGATAGATCCTAAGAAAGTAAAAACTATCATTACTTGGAAGATTTTAAAAATAATTAAAATTATCTTAAGTTTTTTGGAGTTTTTTAATAAATATTAAATATTTATTAAAAAATTTATTTAAATTACAATTCTATTTACATGTTTGACTTTTAAAAAAAAACTTAAGTAGAATAAAAAAGATATAGCAATATTTAAACTTTGAAGCTAGCTTTTAGTTTTATATCAATCTTATATTGTATTAATATTTCTAAGGTATTTTTTTATGGAAACAGATAGATTGAATTTTATCTTAAATTTTGACTTGAATATAATATTATTACAAATGGAAGGAGATGACAAACTTTATTTAATAAGTTTTTAGTCAAAAAAATATTTAACAATCAAGATCAACTACAAGTTCTATAATAGAGAATTTCTTATTATTATAGATTTATTTCAAGAATGGCATCATTATCTAGAAGAAATTCATAGTCTAATTACTATGTATACAACATTGAAAGATAGAAAATTTGCTTTAAGAAAGCGTTGAGCTTCTGGTTGTCACTCAGTGCTCAACTAAATCTCAAGATAAAAAAGCACTAAGTTTATATGTAAAATTATCCTTATAGAAGAAATTACATCAATATATAAGTCCTAAGTACCAAAGATCATCCAAAATGTGACAAAAATATTCTAAAACCATATATATTCTTAAGGTGAAATTTTCTTAAACTTCAACAGCTCATTTCTCACGATTTGACTATTTAAACAAATTATTTTTTTATATAAAGTACTAATGTACTTTAAACAACTACTACAACAAATTTCAATCATAATTTTTTTATAAATCTTGAGATATTTCTAAAATCCTAATAATAGCTTCAAATCCTTGTTTATATATACATACATGAAAATTTCTTTATATCTCACAAACTAAGAACTTAAATATCACAAAATTTGGTACATAGATTTCAACCTAATAACTCACACTTTTAAAAAATTTGAGCCAAAAATTCATTTGGAAACTTAACTAATGCATAAATAATAGGATGATGATCTCTCTCATTCTTTTCATTTGCTACAAGATTATAAGAAGTAGTCAACTTCAATTGAACTTCATATATATTGAAAAAATTTCTTACTTCAATAGCATCAAATTCTCTTCTATTCGCTTTCATTTTTTTAATGCTACCATATTTGCTAAAAATAACTTCTAATATAAATCTAAATACTACTTCAATGATTTTGGTTTTCAAAGCCCATCCTACAATATAATTTAATAGCTCTTCTTTTATCAAAATCTAGTATTTTATATCCCAAAGTTCTAATGGTAAAGCTATGAAATCAATTAACATAAGATTTTATGCACACTAAGCACATTCAATTAATCAAGTACTATGAAATTTTAAATTGTAGATATGACACCAATTGCATGAACTAGCCAAGAGTGCTAGCTCTAATTATATTGCATAAATCCAAAGTCATCAATATAAACCTTGAATTTAAACAACAATTACAAAGTCATTCCAAATCCAATGAAAACTAATCTTACGCTTAAAGAAGCGTAAAGCTATTCTTATTATCTACATAATTATCAAAATAAATATGTATGTCCGTGAAAGCTCTCCAATTCCGATTGTCAATCTCCAAAATTTCTTGTACTTTGTAATAAATGGCCGTTTTAGAGACTAGAGGTCTGATTTTGACCTTGTTCCACAAACGGTCAATCCTTGAGTTTCAATCTAATCTAATTTAGGAAGTTTTTAGCCCAACCATATCCTCAACTTAATCTTAGTATCAATTATACTAATTATTTATATCTTCTATACTATAATTTATCAATTTATGGTCTTTTTAAGGTAATAAAAGAGTTTCTACAACCTAGAAGGTAAAATTACAAACCAACCTTTAATCTACTAACTATTAAGACAAGAAAATAAACTAAGAGGCTTTTATAAAAAACCATGTTTAAATGTCTTGAATTATTATTAAATCAAAATAATTAGATATTAATTAAAATTTTATTTTTGATTATATTTTCACCATATATTCATATTACAACATGACATCGTAAAATTGATTTTTGACAATAGATATGCAAATGAGCAACTTTGTTCTTAATTTTAAGGTGTTTTTAACAATTAAGTTGCAAGATACTAGTTTATACCTACAAAAGGATGTTATATAAGAATAAATTAAGGTTGGTTATTTATTCTTATATATTTGAAGATTGAGACACTTGATAAAGCATGTTTTTGAAATATTAACAAAAGGCATGAAATTTAAGCTATACATAAAGTATAAGAAGAATTACATGGCTATGTTTTGAAATTTGACTATAATAGTTCTTCATCAATCTTAGAGTAAGGAGTCAAGCATCATCAACAAAGTTCTTTTTGCAATATGTTTCAATTTGTATGTTAGATCTTTTGTAAAAGTTATGAGTTTATGAAAAGAAAATAAAAATGTAACATATATATATACATACATACATAGAAAACCAAGGTAAATGTTAAAACCAATAGAAAAATATAATTGACATGATTCATATGTTACATCAATTCATAAAATAGAATTCTTCTCTTCCAAAAATTAAATTATTCTTTAGTGAATCATTGTTGGCAACCATTATTAAGTTATAATTGTCTTATGCACATAATACCAAAAGATAAATTGTTACCTCAACCAAAATATATCACACAATCTACTTAAATCCAAGACCGTTTCAGACTCCAGGGAAGAGTTTGGAAGGTTGAGCAAGCATGGGTAGTGGAGGTGAACAACGGCAGAAACAGTGACGAAAGAAGAGAGCGGGGATAAGAGAGGAGGCCAAGGCGAAGGAGGAAAGCCAGAAAGTGCGATAGCTTATCACAGCGTGCGGGGGGACAGTGTCGGACGTGTCCAGGATGGATGGATAGTTAGTTAGTTCCAGATGCTGCTGCTGCTGCGGGGAAGGGGAGCAGCAGCATGGAATTGAGGGGTGCCGGCCATGCTTGCTTGCTTGCTTGATTAAGGCGCCATCCATCCATCCATCGCATGAGGACCGAACCTCCTGGAGGTGGTGCAGCTCACCATTTGGAGCAGCAACCCCAGCGCCTCCGAGACTGCCTTCCGGCCTGACTGCGTTGCCATCCGGCTCCAGCAGTGGTAGCTATGGTGGTGGTCGAGGCAAGCTTGGGCTGGGGTGGGCTGGGCAGGGCTGGGCATCAATCTGCATGAATATGAGCGAGAGAGAGAGAGAGAGAGAGATGTCCTGCACGGGGATTCCGTTCTCGTCTATCCCCCAAGTTTCTGTTGGGCCCCTCGGGTCGCTGCCAGATGGGACCCCTCCTGCGCGCCACGTTCGACGCCGGTGGAGCCTTCGACATGGCGGCACTGCCACTGCGGTGGACAAGTGTCGACCAGCGACGATCCACTTGTATTGGTGTCCACTGAGCCTGTCGCCCCCGTTCTGCACTATATCACCCTCGCCCAACTCCTCTGCTCATCGCAACATTACCACCCTTCGCTCCCTCGCTCGCTCGACATTGATCGATCGATCTCATTCTTTTTCAACCCCCGATCCCGTGCTTTTTCGGACAATCGTGCACGTAGTGTTTAGAGCGCGTGGAGTAGTCGAACAGCCATGAGTCCGCTTCGTTTTCTCGCCGTTTTGGTGCTGGGGGCGCTCGTCGTGTGCGCCGCTGCGGACACGGCCGACCACGCAAAGGGCAAAGGCGACGAGGCGCAGGCCAAGGTGGCGGAAGGCGCCGCCGCCGCGCACGAATCTGCTCAGACCTGGACCGAGATGGCGAAGGAGAAGCTGAACATCTTCTCGTCGGATGCGCAGGAGAAGGCAGGCGACACCGTGGACGCCGCCAAGGACACTGCGGGTTCCGCCAAGGACAAGGCAGCGGACACCGTGGGAACTGCCAAGGATAAGTCGGCGGAGGGCGCCGCTGCAGCCCACGAGACCGGGCACTCGTACCTGGACATGGCGAAGGAGAAGCTGAACGAATACATCAAGTAAGTATCCGCGGTTCCTTGGTGCAATTGTTGATTGGATGTTTTGTGGTGTCAGACGGGATGTGTCGATCGTGGGAATCCATGCGGTGGAGCGTGAGCGGGGAGACGTAGACGGTTGGGGGTGGTGGGGGTGTGGAACGAAGTGAAGCGGGATGAAGTGCAGGGCGGTGGGTTTGTGAAGCCGTTGTAGCGGTTGATAGATCGGATGGTTGCGTAGGAAGTGCGAGCAGGGTCGTGCAGGGACAGAGTCGTGGGTGTCGTGAGGGTCGGCACGGGGCAGGAGGAGAGGGAGCGAACGTGAGGTGTCATGGGTCATGTGAAATGTGGAGGGAGCCGGGACATGGTGAAATCGCCGCGATTAATTAATTGGTGTCAAGTTTCTGTTTGGGCAAATTCAGGGGAGCCTCCGAGACCGCAGAGAGCGCCAAGGACAAGGCTGCTAACACTGCCAACACCGCAGCGAGCAAGGCTGGAGAGGGCAAGGATGCAGCTGTTGATTCTGCCAAGTCCGCAGCTGACAAGGCTGAGGAAGGGAAGGATGCGGCTGCTGAATCCGCTCGCGAAGCTGCGGATGTTGCAGGAAGCAAGGCTCATTGCGGAAAGGATGCCGCTGTGGATACCGCATCAGGTATTGTACTTAATTTGACTTGTACTCGCTTTCCCTGTGAATAATATGACACGTTTTGTATTAGGTCTGGAAACAGGCCTCGAGCAAATACCATGTTGTTGATGTTCTAAGGTCGGATTGTAGTGGAAATTGATCTTTATACTCTGAGGACTTTTGTGGTGATACTGGAGTATGAAGGTAATTATGCGAGGTTCGCTTTTATGTTAATCACTCATGGCTTGCTACGGATTTTTTCTTTCAGGTGCTGCTGACAAGGCTCAGGATGGCGCTAGCTATATCAGGAACACCGGAAGTGATGCAGCATCCAAGGCTGCGGAGGCAGCTGGAATTGCGAAGGATACTGTGAGTGATTCCGCTCAGAGTGCAGCTGGTAAGACCAAAGATACGGCTGCGGGTGCTTCTGACAAAGCTCAGGATGGATATGAGGCAGCGAAGGATACCGTTGGTCAGGGATATGATTCAGCTGCGGACGCGACTAAAGACGCTGCCAAATCTGGCACGAAGATGACTAGCGATGGAGCGGAAAAGGTTAGGGACACTGCGTCTTCGCAGTACGAGGAGTTGTAAATGTAACGTAGAGGGTAACCAGGGTTCGAGTAGATGCCGTGATGGCAGTAGAGTCGGAAATGAGCAGACCGATAGGAGGGAGTCGGAAGTTGAGGTTTGAAGTGTACAGTGGGCCATTCAACGTTTGTATATCAAGTTCTGGGTGAATGGATTGAGTGTTGTAGCACGCGGTTTAATTTTTCTAGGGGTGTAAATAGAGGGGGAGTGCTGAGGACTCGCTCGTTTGTGTAATTCTGCTGCCATAGGCATGACATATATAAGATGGAATGTCATTTGACCATATATCTGTCCTTTCGATGTATTTGCAACAGCAATGTTGATGATTGAGAACGTGTATCATTGAGGAATTTGTGGTGTGATTTCCACTTGATGGTGGATGTGATAGCGTCTTTGCACAGACTGGTATTTAGTTGATCTATTTGTAAATAGCATGCGGAGTGTGTAATGTCTTGAACTTGTGAGCGAAAACTGGCATGAATTCCTTCGCGCACGTTCGATATAAAAAACTTGGTGTAAATTGATGGCATGTGAGCTCTGATTATACAAACCTTGCTGAGCAGAATTTGTTCGAGTGTGGTCTGTCAAACGGGAGGTGGAAGAGTAGTGCGAATCGCTCTTGATCACACTGAACGTAGACGTGAAGTTGTCATGAAGGGCATTTCAGCTTATTCTGGTTATTTGATTATAAAATTGAACTTTCCAGAAGGAATTATGCTATATCCGAAAACATTTTTATGTGATTTTTTTAGTAAGATTTTATTATTCTAGTTTACATATCCTACACCAGGGAATGTTCGTAGATAATATTCAAGCAGCCAATGAGTCTGTGGCATATGTATTTTAAAAGAAGAGAGTGAGTTGTCAATTTTGTGTATTATTGGACAATTTTCGTGTTGTCATGCCAGAACGAAATAGATGGAATTGCATGGGATTGGTGAGGAACACGCGTAACCTTTGTAACTGCAGGCCATCTGTTTGCTACGACGCATGACACAGTGAGATTCAGGACCAAGTCCATTTTGACCAAGTCAAGTACTATCAAATGTAGGAGCCTGTCTTTGGATTTGGTGTCAACTGTGTAAGTTGTTTAACTGTTGTTTCTTCTCAAATGAACATTTGGAGGAAGTTTATTTGCGCCATGTATGTACAAAAAAAATTACAATTGTATATTTATGTCTTTTCTGGGATTTAAATAAACCTGAGTAGACAATACGTAAGCATGAAAAGTTCTTTAAATATTTATCATATTAAGATTTATTCAAGATGATCTTTTAGAGTAATATTTTAATTTTTTCTAAAGAAGCTTATGAAATTTTAAAACAAATGTAAGCAACTTAATTGCAATTTGGGAATAAAGAGTACTATCATTTCCTAAATATATTTTTATTTGATCCGTAATTATTTTGTATGATTTACTTATGAAAAACCATCTCTTGTTTCTTTCATTCTTTTTATTTTAAAACAACTGGGGTGTCCCTCTATATTTATTGAAAGGTAGATAAAGCCTTTTTAAATCCTAATGTCTTTCTTGGGAAGCTTAAGAAGATTAAGGTTGGTGGATGTGCAACTTACCTCTCAAGTAAAACCATCTCCAATGTTTTAACTGTAACACAACTTTGTCGGATTTAAGAGTGCCATCGTATACTATTTTCTTCTTTATTACCTGAGATATTATTGGCCATTCAAAGATTATTCCTACAAGTTGCACATTCTTTTATTATATATATAAATTCTTACAGAATGTATCTATTTTAAAGTTTCTTATTGGATATGTAAATTTTAGTTGTAAATTGAAAAATATATATTTTTATTATTTCATTTCTGAATTTTTAATTTTTAATTTTTTTTAAATGTTATTTTGTTAATCTATACAAAAAGGTTTGTAACTTTGGAGACAGAGTTTATAAAATTAGCTGAGTAGTTTTTTATTATTTGCAGCGCTCAAAGATTTTCACAGCAATAAAATTTAGTTCATTTATGGTAATTAATGATTCCATTATGTCTTGATCTTTTTGAGTAGAAAATGGTGTTTACCTTGCTCTTAAGAATCAAACTGGCATAAATATCCACGTTATTAGAAGGTAATCAATTCATAACCTCTAAATGTTTTATTACTGAATCACAAACCTCTTATCAATTAATAAAAAAAAAACTTTGTACGTTAAGAATACAAGACAACATTAACTTGAAAAAGATTATTAAAATTTCACATACCAAACAAATAGAACATGGTAAAACAAAGGTGCAAGTAATAAAGATATCATCAGGTTCTAAAATATATATATATATATATATATATATGTATACCAACACAAAAAATAAAAATAAAATATTGATTTCAAGCTTTGAAAGAGACCACAATCTAAAAGATGAATATGACACTAGCGGCAGAGTGCACCAAGCTATTCAATCAAGTGTTGGTAATTGTTGGCCAAATGTCCAAATGGAAAACTATCAAAATTATAGATGTTATGCTCAGCTTAATCTCCATTATTCACAATTTTTCCTTTATAAGCACAATTATTCAAAGTGTTGTTTTGTTTTTGTCTATTACAAAAATTATTCTCTATTACAACTTTTCATTTCAATCATAAAACTTTGCTAAAAATAAATCATGTTGACAAACTTAATAGAATAAGAAACTACATTATATAGAAAGTTTGAGTTAAGACTCCACTCATGCAATATGAAGTCTAAGACAAACCTATAGTTGAAGCACCACATACTATTGTAGTTGCTACTATTGATGTCATAGATGGAATCATTGACTCTAATAGTAAAGAAGAAAAAGACGATGCTCCAACAATATTAGTTGCTTATGAAAGAAAGAATAAAAAAATCAAAGTTAATTCCATCTTCAAAACCATAATACGTGATAAAAAAAAATTAATTATCAAAAGTTTTTATGCTCATTTGGTTAGACGATGGAATTATTTTAAATAAAAATTTAGTGGTGACCTACTCCAATGATAACTATTGCTTAAAAGACAATTCTTAAACGTCACCATGGTTAAAAAACATCCAACGAAGACTATCTCAATTATATTGAAGAACTAACTACCAAGCTTGTGAATATCAAGGTTAGGATGGAGCTCTTGAAAGTCATCCACATAAGCTTATAAAGATTTCTTTATAGTTGAAGATCTTTTATTTTAGAAATTAGTGCAAATGTAATTGGAATTTCTCAACTTGCATACACCATACTTATATGATGTATGAAAATTGAGAAATATTAGAAGAAAAGCTGCAATGAAGAAGTAAGTAAAGATACTATGTATATGGCTAGGTTCTATTATCAAAGTATGTATGGTCATAATAATTATTATCAAAGATATCCTTATTTAGAACAAGAGTAAGAAATTTATAGTAGCTAAGACAACTTTGATGGTACTAGATAAGATTTTTGACAAATAAGTTTATATAATTATTGTAGTAAATTAAGGTATTAAAAATCTTAGTAAAATTTGAAGCATCCCAACAAGCAAATTATCATATTTCAAATATGAGCTACTACCATGTATTGTCTTTAAGCAAGCCTTATAGAGTATTATAATCTACTATGGTTTATAGATTCTTTTGCTTTGAGCTATATAACTAGATATCAAGAATTGATAGACAACTTTAAACTAAGTTCTTCTACTAGTATTGATATTACTATTGCCAATAAGAATTTTTTTTTTATCTTTGATAAAAAATAAAAAAATAAAACTATTGTTATTGATAGTAAAGCTTTATTTAATATTTTTTATGTACTTGGTCAATACCAAATCCTAATGTCTATAGGCAAATTTGGTAATTTTGGCTATTCAAATATATTCACAAAAAGAATCATATACCATCTACAATAAAATAAATCTTAATCATATTGTATTTCATAATACATGTAATCCACATAATAGTCTATATAAACTACACAATAATTTGTTGAATTCAAAAGTTAATGCTTTTTTATTTAGAAAAATTTATAGATCATCTTATAATTTGATTCAATTGAATTATCTTATTATCATTCACATTGCTAAATCAATGAAGTCAAATATAATCTCAATGACTTACATGACTTATAGCATAGATAGCTTAGCCGTTTCAATAAACAAACAACATATCACATGACTACACAATATTATGGTCATTAGAATATCTTTTCTATCTTTTATCAAAATAAATTATTTATCATGTATTCTAGAAAAAAGTCAAAAAGAAAAATTCTAAAACATCTTAAATCTATCATATTAGATATTTTAAATTCCTTAATAATGACCTCTATAGCCTATTATAATCAACTTTAAAGAATAAATATATCTATTTATTTATAAATAACTACACCATATTTATATAGGTTTATTTTCTTATAATAATAAAAAAATAATAATATTAACACTTCAAATCATTTAAACTCATGGTTGAAAAAGAATTTAGGCTACAAATATATATTTTTTTACAAATAAAGGAAGAAAATACCTGTCATCTAAATATTCTTACTTCTAATCTATATCTAAAACTCAATGTCAATTCATGCTTCTATCTATTCTATATTCAAAATAAAATTTCTAAATAAAATAATAAAATATTATTAAAGGCTATTTAAAGTATTTTTTTTGATAATAAATTTTTATTATTTCTTTGGATTAAAATAATCTCAATTGCACCTAATATATTTAATTATAATAAATTTAAGATTTCAATAATATAATCCATTAAAAAAATAAATTATTAAAAATCAAAAGAATTAATTTATTCTTATGTCACTAAAAAAGAATAGATAATTATTCAAAAATAATATAATATTGAAATTAAAATGGCTATTGCCAAAAGAAAAAAAGATTAAAAATACTTGGAACAAGACAAAAAATAAAAAAGATTTTGAAAAGAGTGAAAAAGACTTCAATCTTGCCTCTATATATACTATCTAACTAAGAGCTATGTAATAATATTCTATAAGACATCCAACATGTATCTAATATGCATGACAAGTTTCCTACATGTACAACATGTGGCCAAGTTTTCAACATATTAATCACCTACAAACACATAAAAAATAAAATTTGAATCTATAAATGTTTTAAAAGGTTTTTTTAAAAAATAATATTAAACTTAATTATTTTTTTATATTTATATCTAATTTCTTTAATCTATATATATATATATATATATATATATATATATATCTGTGATACAATTCCATTTTAAATATTGTATAGACATTATCATGATCTTTCACATCTTTTTATTTTTTGTGGTATAACATATATTCATAAATTATATGAACTTTAATATATAGT